AGGGAAACTGAATGAGTTCGGAACGGAAATGTTGTCTTTTTGGACTCAAAATACTTTTTTAGGTAGAAAAAAAACTTAGTTACCAAAATATGTAAAACGCGATTTTGCCGTTAAGATAAAACGCGGTTAAACAAAAACGCGGTTCACAACCACGTTTTCTATTGTTGCTGTTTCCAACACTTTAGATAACTAGTCTCATGATACGCGCGTTGCGCGTGTACACTATCTCAATGAAAAATATTAAAATAATATATAAATATCATATTAAAATATTATATTTGATTTATAAAATAAAAGCATATGTTTGTAAAAGTGATAAATGTTGACCCTGTGTACTTACTCAATAAAAGAAAAAATCACCACATAAAATTTTCAATCATCTGTTGATATATATCCAATAATAAACTTATTTTAGCTTAATAATTTCATCACTCCAAATTGAAAAATTATCATTCTTCCTTCCCAATTTCAATATTCACACATAAAATTAAGAGATTTATAATTTTGATTTTGAAATAATTTAAGAACCTCACCAAAAAATGAATTAGGTTAATGGATGATATTAAATAATAGTTTCCTGCTTATTATCTCTTCTTATTTTTTCTATTTGAACCTAGGAATAATTTTGACTTGACTTTAATAGGGTACATTAAATACAAAAAAATTTATATTGATGCGACGTTAGATTTTAGATATGTTTTAAACATAAATCCTTTTTTAACCCAAAGTATTAATCAACATAATCTTTTATTCTAAAAAAATTGAACTGAATGGTGAAAAGAAAAAGATTTAAACGGAAAATAATTCTGGCAAAATCCTATAGAAGAATTAAAAATAAAAGTAACAACAAATTAAACTAAGAAAAATTGCCAAACGTTACAATAATATTCTATAAAATGAGAAAAAAATAAAAAAGATTAAGGGACTTACATGCTAAGGCATGATTCATATCTCATTCGATGAGGACCAAAATAAATAATAAATTACCTCGATATACTTTGTTGTGTTAGTTCAAATGATCCAAAAGCTTCTACGATCTACAATCGGCAACCTAAATTCAAAGAAAGAAAGCACAAAAGTTAGACAACACCAAATTAAGAACATAAAAAGAGATGATAAATGGAAGCAAAAGCACTAATAAGCAATAAAGGAGTTTGAATCACAATCAACGATTAAGACTTAAACAACCCTTATGAAAATATCAAATTAAGACTTAAACAACCCTAATGAAAATATCAAACTTCTCGTATATATATGGCAAACTAAAAAGAATATAAAAAAGAATTCAAAGCAAGAGCATTTCCAAGTTAAAGCAACGATAAAAAATGAAAGACAATAAGGAAAAGACAACAAAATTGACTCTTAAAGCAATAATAAAATTTTTAACCGACGCAGAAACTAAACCTTAGTTTCATGAAAATTGGTACACGTTTTTAATGCTCTTTAACAGGGATATTCATTAATAATAAGTTTTCTATTTATTCTGTTAAATGTTTTCCTTTTGAATCCACCGAAAATTTGACTTTTCTTTAATAGAGATATTAAATGTTTCCTACTTATTCTCTTTTAAGTTCTATTTTCCTTTTTTTAACCTACGAAAATTACAATTTGTGATGGATATTAATTGAAGAAGTTGTTTTTCACCTATTCTCTTCTTCTTTCTCCTTTTATTGTAATACGTTAGTTTCATTTTTTTTCTCCCAAAAATACCTTTTTAATATTTACAATTATATCCAACTTAAAATCCACTTACAATGAATAATAAAGGCGAACAACATTTTGCTAAGAGTCTTCGTGCTTTTAATATAGTATAGATAAGCACAAAAGAAGACATTAAAAGAAAAGAAAAAAATTAACTTTCTCTATCTCTCACCATTTTATCTTTAAGTTGACAAAGGCCAACACTGTCCTTCCATGGGGATTAAAACGCATATGACCAAATTCATTATCACCTACCTGAAACAAAGATGAAATCTTCCTAATTAACTTGGGTAAACTTAGAAAAAACTCTTGAATTAGAAATAGAGAACCATAAGACTGGTTGAGCCAGAACATCATACGGTCCTTGAAAACCGGTTTGGGCATATTAAACACATAATGGCTGGTAATTGGTGCAGACTAAAATAAATAAATAAATAAATAAAAGTCTTCTCTGACACTATAAGCTCAAAGACAAAGCAAACAATAGTATCTTCTACATTCTTGGCTCGAGTTTCGCTGTCAATCGTGAAATAAATATGTGCTGGCTCAAAAAGATGCAGGTCTCTATAAGTGAAGATTGCTTCCGTTAATTGCATAACAATAGAATACGTGGTTGTGAACCGCGTTTTTGTAAAACGTGGTTTTTAACAGCGTTTCTGTAAAACGCGGTAAATTCCCAAATGGCCGTTAAGGTAAAACGTGATTCAAAATCGCATTTTACATATTTTGGTAACTAAATTTTTTTTCCACCTAAAAAAGTATTTTGAGTCCAAAAAGACAACATTTTGGTTCCGGACTCCACTGGTCCATGCATCCATTGCCACGAACTTTCCTTATTTCTCTCAATTCTCAAATTTTGTACTCCCCCTGTTTCAATTCATGTAAACCTGTTTGACTGGGCACGAAGTTTCAGAAAAAATGAAGACTTTTTGAATTTGTGGTCCTAAACAAGTCCAAAAGGGGTCAAGAGTATTAGTGTGGTTATAAAAGCTTCTCATTAAGGGTAAAATTGAAAGTTTAAGCTAAATTGTTTCTAAATTTGGAAAGGGGTCTTCTTTTTGCAACGGGCAATTAAGTTAGCGTTTGGACATAGATTTAGTTGAAACTTGAAAAAATAATTTTTGAAGTAGTTTTGAAAAATAATTTTTGGAAGTTGAAACTATGTTTGGACATGCATTTTATTTGAAAAAAATTTGAAGTTTTGTGAGTGGGAGAACAAGTTTCACCCAAAATCTACCCTAAACTAGATTTTGGGAACTTGAAAAATAATTTCAGAAATTTTTCTAAAATAGATCATTAATCTATGAACAAACAATATTTTCAAAAAAAATTTGAAAAACGGTGCCAAAATGTATGGCCAAACGGGGCCTAAAAAAATATGTTGAAGGAAGTAGTATTTTATAATTTCATACCTAGTAATAATTAGCTGCCTAGATACTACCTTTCCATCTTTGACACTGTTCACTCCCACTAAAATCTCCATTGACTTAAAACGTTTGGATTGAAAATTGGCAGGAAATTATAGGACATTTGGAAAAAATACAGTAGAGATTTATTAATTAGACAACTAACTATTTACCCCAAAGACACGGATAGACTTCTCAAATAAATTTCGGTCTTACTTAGAAAAGGAAAGAGTTATTTTTCCTTTTACTTGTTTGAATGAACGAGCTAGGACTCCATAGACATAACCATGGAAATATTTCTTAGTTTAAATGAACAAAGACTCCAAAACGAAGCTGGTGGCGTATCATCAAGGAATATGGTGGGATAGTTGTGAACCGTTTGCCGTTACTCAAATGTCTCGTGTTCAAGCCTAGGAATAAAGAACTGAAGGATGATCAGTTGAACACTCTTCGTTGATAAATTATAATGCATATATTGGTCAAAAATTACTCGATAAACATATATATTACATGTTGAACACCCTTAGTAAAATTCCTGATTTCTCCGTTACTACCACAAATCGAAATTAGCTTGTCCAACGGGTTTGGAATACCAGATATTTAAGCAAAAAATAAAAAAGAAAAGGCAAAATAGGTTTGGGCGTCAACTTTTCCAAGTCAAATAAACCCAACATTTCCTTAACATTTATGGTAGCCAATGACCAATTCAACATTTGCTTTGCATTAATTTGCTCGAGACTCAGCAACGTCTTCTTTGTAATTTATAGGTGTAATTCAATGTATCCATTCTAATTTTCTTGCATGGCTTTTGCAACTGTATTTTTTCTTGCTCTCTTGCTCTTTCTCCTTTCAGCCATTTCTCAATCTTACCAAAATGTTAGTTTGGGTTCATCACTCACTACAAGTGATGTTACTACATTTTGGCCATCCCCTTCTGGAGAATTTGCTTTTGGCTTTCAAAAAGTTGGAAATGGAGGATTCATACTAGCCATCTGGTTCAATAAACACACAGAAAAAACCATAGTTTGGTCAGCCAATAGGAATAATATTGCCCCTGATGGATCCAATGTTTCTCTCTCCACAGATGGAAGACTAGGCCTATTTGATCCAAATGGCCAACAGATATGGGTTCGTGGCACGGCCGAACTGGCCTATGGAGCCATGCTTGACACTGGAAACTTTGTGCTAGCAAACAGTAGTTCAGCCATTTTATGGCAGAGTTTCGATGAGCCAATCGATACGATTTTGCCAGGTCAAGTACGAAACAAGGAAATAAGCTTGTCTCAAGCTTCTCTGACACGAATGTATCGAGTGGAAGGTTCGAGCTCATACTTCAAGATGATGGAAATCTGGTGCTTTACACTGTAAATTATCCACTTGATGCAATAAATCGTCCATATTGGGCAACGAATTCAGTTGGCAGTGGTTACCAGGTGATCTTCAATCAATCCGGCTTTATTTTCCTTCGAGCACAAAATGGAACTCTGTTAAATTCGATATCTTCTAATGAGTCAAACTCAACAACAAGCCAATTATACCAACGAGCGATTCTTGAATATGATGGAGTTTTTAGGCACTATGTCTCTCCGAAATCTTCTAGTGGGAGGCCCATGGCATGGTCTACTTTGCATAGCATACCGGATAACATTTGTGCCCGCTGGCAAAGTGTTGGAGGGGGTGCCTGTGGTTTCAACAGCATTTGCTCGATGGGAACTAACCGGAGGCCAAGATGTGATTGTCCATTCGGGTATATCTTGAATGATCCGAACGACAAATTAGGTGGCTGCAGACGAAATTTCTCTGAGCAAGATTGTAACCATGAATGGAGAGAAATTGAGGCTTTCACTTTCCGAGAAATGCTCAATTCTAACTGGTTTGGCGGTGATTATGCGTCTTACCGGGATGTTCCAGAGGATTGGTGCAAACAGAATTGTTTGAGTGATTGTTTTTGTGTTGTTGCTATTTATGATCAAAACAAAATTTGTTGGAAGAAAAGGTATCCGCTTTCAAATGGGATTCTGAAACCGTCAGATGGTGGGAAAGCTTTGATAAAAATAAGGAAAGACAACTCCACAGTGGGATCGCCACCACCACCAACAACAACTACGCCTCAGTTCCAAACAAAAAGGAAAAGTCAATCTACTCTAATCATTTCTGGTTCTGTGTTGTTGGGCAGTTCACTTTTCATCTTAATGTTGTTGGCCGTTTTATATGTTTTCAAGTTTAAGGGGAAAACGCCAAAGAAGCGTGTGCAATATCCAACGGTCCCAGGAGTGAACCTAAGAAGTTTTAGCTACAATGAGCTAGAAGAAGCTACAAATGGATTCAAGGAAGAATTAGGAACTGGGGCCTTCTCAACAGCTTACAAAGCGGTTCTTAATGACGAAAATGGGAAAGTCGTTGCTGTCAAGAAACTACACAAGATGGAAAGAGAAGGAGAACAAGGATTCGAAGCTGAAGTGAATTCAATCAGTAGGACTAATCACAAGAACTTGGTCCAACTCCTCGGATTTTGCAACGAAGGCCAACACCGGCTTTTGGTTTATGAATACATGAAAACTGGCTCAATAGCAGACTTTCTATTCAAAGATTCTAGGCTTAGTTGGTCCCAAAGAGTACAAGTTGCCATAGACACTGCCAAAGGGCTTTGCTATTTGCATGAAGAATGTAGTACCCAAATTATACATTGTGACATCAAGCCTCAGAATGTGCTTTTAGATGAAAATATGATAGCAAAAATAGCAGATTTTGGAATAGCCAAGCTTTTGAGGAAAGATCAGACTCGAACGACCACTAAGAAACGTGGCACGAGAGGGTACGTAGCCCCAGAGTGGTTCAGGAACATGCCTATAACCGTCAAAGTGGATGTGTACAGCTACGGAATCTTGCTCTTAGAGCTGATTTGCTGCAGAAAAAGTTATGAGCAAGATGTGGCAAATGAGGATGAAATGATACTTGTGGAGTGGGCTTGTGATTGCTATAGAAGAAAAGAGTTGCATTTACTTGCGGGTGATGATGAAGAAGCAATAGAAGATATCAAGAGGTTTGAGAATTTTTTGATGGTTGCTATTTGGTGCATTCAAGAAAATCCAGCATTAAGGCCTAACATGAAAAAAGTCATGCTAATGCTTGAAGGTTCTATTGATTTCTCAGTTCCTCCTGACCCTTTTTCCTTTATTAGTTCTGTTTAGATCAGAAGGGGAGCCTTGGCGTAACTGGTAAAAGTTGCTGCCATGTGACCAGGAGGTCACGGGTTCAAACCGTAGAAACAGCCTCTTGCAGAAATACAGGATAAAGCTGCGCACAATAGACCATTGTGGGAGCTTATAGTGCACCGGGCTGCCCTTCAGTTCTGTTTAGATCAGCCATATTTTTTTCCCTTATACTTTTGTTTGTCCCTAAATAATATTGCAATAACCTGTGTACACATATACAATTCAATATCTGTATCTTCACTATAATAAGCTTCTTGTAATGTATGGTTTTCATCAATTCATAAAACTTCTTATTCTAACTCAAGTTCCCAAAAATAAAGAGAAGAAATGTATAAAATCCATCAATATTTAAGCCAGTACATATACTGTTCCAAAGTTATGCTGCAAGAAATGCTTCAACAATTACAAGCATTTTTGTTCTGGTTTCCCTCTCCATAACTTGGTTAAACAATGCAATATTTAATGCTTATCATGGTTTGCTATTCCATATACACATATATATGGAAATATACTTGATTAAACCAAATGATCCTAGTTTTGGAGTGGCTTCTCTAGTTTAGTTATTAGGATTGGTTTTCCTATTATCTCTGTAGATTCAAGTTGAATTCTTTGATTGTTTTAACTCTGATATTACTGCACATGATCCTTTTGCTAAGAAAATGTGCTACTGCAGTTTTCTTTGGAATAAAGTATAGAGTGAATAGTGAGTTGGTCAATTAGTAAAAGTGAGTCATTTTTTCCTTATAGCATAACTCTGCAGTTGTTATGGCTTAAAGGTGAATGTATTTTCCAAAATCAATATTTATTTTTATAAGGAGTAAAAGAACCTTAGAGGAATTGAGACTTCAATAGAACCTTCAAGCATCAACATAACTTTCTTAATGCTGGACTTTCTTGAATGCACCAAATCTCAATCATCAAAAACTTATCGAATCTCTTGATATCTTATGTTGCCTCTTCATCATTACTCACGAGTAAATGCAGCTCTTCTCTTTTGAAGCAATCATAAGCCCATTCCACAATTTTTTTTCATCCTCATTTGCCACGTCTTGATTATACTTTTTCTGTGGAAAATCAGCTCTAAAAGCAAGATCCCTAAGCTGTACACATCCACTTTGACGGTTTTATGCATGTTCCTGAACGACTTTGGCGCTCTTGTTCCATGTATCTTAGGGGCCGTTCGAGTGTCTGATCTTTCCTCAAGAGCTTGCATGCCATTCCAAGCTATGCTATTGAATCGACTTCACCTCCGAATCCTTGTTCTCCTTCTCTTTCCATCTTGTGTAGTTTCTTGAAAGCGACGACTTTCCCCTTTTTGTGTCATTAAGAACCGCATTGTAAACGGTTGAGAAGTCCCCATTTCCTTGTTTGTAGCTGAAACTAGCTCTTTGTAGCTGAAACTTCTTAAGTTTAATCCTGGAACACCTAGATATGGTACACCTAGAACTGTCTAACAACACAGAACCAGAATAAATTGGTCATCACTTGATCTCACCTGTGGAGTTGTTTTTCCATATTTTTATCAAAGCCTTCCCTCCAACGGTTGGATCTACCACCCCTTGTGAAAATGGATTCCTTTTCTTCCAACTAACGTTCTCGGCACTGTAAACGGCAACAGCACAAGAACAGTCACTCAAACAATTCAAGCCTAATTTGTCATTACGATATAACCGAGTGGACTATCACATCGTGGCCTCGGGTCAGTTCCTATTTAGCAAAGGCTGTTCAAACCATAGACATCCTTTTCTATATCTGTCTTGATAGAAAAATATATATTCTTCGGAGGAATGTTATACAAAGTAGACCATTCCATTGGCCTCCCACTAGTTGCAATAGAAAATTTTGGATAGAAATGGTGTCTAAAACCTCCATCATATTCAAGAATTGCTCGCTGATACATTTGCCTTGTTATTGAGTTTGCCACATTGGAAGATAGCGAATTTAACAGCATTCCATCCTTTGCTTGAAGGAATATAGAGTCAGATTGATTGGAGATCACATCATAACCGCTGCTAATATTCATATATTGAACGCGGTTGATCAATACGCAGCATTTGTTGCATCGGTTGGATAATGGAGTGTGCAAAGTGCCAGATTTCCATCACATTGGAGCATGAACTCGAACCTTACACTCGATAAATTCGTGCAACTGTTTAACCAAAAAATGTTAAGCTCTTTGATTAAATCAATTAATGATGAAAAGAGGGTAAAGCTTAGACAAATATAATCTACTCTAGATCTAAGCACCATGAATATTGAAATCCAAGAGATTGAATTTATATAACAAATCTCATATTGAATGGAAGACACTAAATGTAAATGATAATCTTACAACTTTAGCATATCGTTTCTTATTTGTAGAAATAAAGAGGATAAAGGATGATTCTTGTTGATGACTACGAGATTTAGCTTTATTGATTCAACTAAGAGGATTGCACAGGTTTGATATCCTGAACGTGAGCTGCTTCTTCTTCCTCTTCTTCTTCTTGCCCCTGGAGATCTTTTCTCTGTCTTCTCTGTTTTTTGGTCCCCCCCTTCTGCTTGGCCTTCCTTATATATATATATATATTGTCCATTTCCTCTTTTACCCAATGGTTCTTAACCAGCATGCCCTCTCATGGCCGTACTACTTCATTACACGCCCATATGTTACGTTCTGCCGTGTAAGCCTTTTGATGGTCTAATCTTGGCAACAGTCGAGATGCTCGTCACCATTACGCCTCGTGGGTACGACCATGGCTTGGCCGACCTCTTACCGTTTCCTTTAATAATAACCATTTGATGGTCAGATTTTGGTCTACACAGTTAGTCCTTCCGCCCGTTGGGGTCGTCTTTTGGTGAGCTCAGTGGGCGGATCCTGTCGATTGTAGAATTAGGAGAAATCTGGACATTATGCGAGGACGGGGTCCTTACGGCTAAGCGACGATGTGATGCTTCAAGGACCTTACCGAGCCGTTGCGTTAATTCGGAGATGGATCGTTCCGTCGATTCAGGGTACCATGAATGCCTGTTATGCGTCATTATGGTACACGTTTCCCAGGCAGCGTATCGATCCTTGTGCCCTTTCGGTTTTTCTAATTGATGGCTCTCGGGTTTCCCACTCAGGATATTTGTGCTCTTATAGATAGGGGGAATCCACCATTTGATTGTTATGCTCTCAATTTATCTGAGAGAATTTTACAAACTTCCACCTTTATTAGTTTTTCATACTTTTGCTTTCGTCAGAATTTGACGCGACCATCCTCTCTATTCCTTTTCCATTCTTGTTTATTTCAAGATAGACAAATGGCTGGTACTTCTTCCCAGACCGATAGATTCATCGAAGCTCCGGTGCCGGAAAATGATGTACCCCTCCTTGAAGAGGGGATGGAGGTGGCGGAAGATGAGGGATTTCCGACAGTGGATGAGATATTACCCCGTTCGGGGAAATTAAGGACTGACTTCAACAGCCCTGCCGGAGACGAATCGGAACTTGTCCCTTCCACCATGGATGAAGCGGCGATTACGACGCTCAAGGCCAAGTGGGGAATCACTACTCATATCGAGATGATACCGGCGGCGGGGAAGGATATTGTTCATTTGCACCGCTCGGGGTACTGTGCGTTTTACGCATATCCCTTTGTTATCGGGTACACGCTTCCTCTTCCCTCTCTGTTGGTAGACTTCTGCTGCTTCTATGAAGTGTGCCCGGCTCAGCTGTCCCCATACGCGTACAAACTCTTCCTCATTCTTATCAAGTACGCGGAGCTTGCCGGACGAGGAATTTCCTTGGGGCACATGCTTCACATCTTTGCCCCTCATTTTCTTCGGGGTACAATGATCCATATGCGCCATCGAGGAACAAAGAGTTTGGTGGTGAAAATGGACGATAAGGCTAATTACCACTTCCGGGCGAGCTACTTCTATGTGCCGACGGAGCATCTTGTGGCGGATTCGGCAGGGTTTCCAGAGACGTGGAACTTCGCCCGTAAGTTTTCTTCTATTTTTGTGATTCCCTTTACAGCAATCTTTGATCGTTCCCCTTTAGATGATATTGCTAAGGACTTGTTTTTGCTTTTACAGCCGAGAGATTACCTCCCCATCTAGTTGATGATATCAGCGAGTGGGTGAGCGCGATTCTTCCCCATACCATGGGCATTCGTGAGTGGGTGTCTTTCCATGTGAAATATGGGTGCAAGCCTCTCACTGGTGAGTCGACCCGCTGCAGTTTTTCTTTATTCTTGCCTCACGGTTTGGCCTTGCCATTATATAATCATCTTTTTTTACAGGTACGGTGCCAAGTACGAGGGCTCCTCAGCTCGCATTCCGTCAGCCGGCATCTCTAGCCCAACCTTCGCCAAGGGTCGCTGGCCGGCCTGCACCGAGAGCTAACGCTCAATCTGCGCCTGCGACTGAAGCCGTGCATTCGAAGACTACTACTCAGCCAGAAATGCCGATTCCGACTGTTCATTTGATGGGCGAATCTTCTCGCGCCGGTAGTGGGGAGGCCCCGTCGAAGAGGTGACGGGTGGTATTGGAAGTGGCTCCTCAGGCCGAAACATCTTCGTGGGTGACCGCGCCTTGGTGGTGCTTGAAACTGGCGGTGGGACCAACCCGGCCGCAGAGGCTATACCTGTTGTGAGCGGTCAACGAGTTGGTTTGGTGGAGAGACGGAGTCCCGAGGTTACTGTTGCTGTCCCTGGCGGCCCTTCGACATCCCGGCTGAACCGTACTTCTTCTTCGGTCGAAGAGAGGGGGAAAGGCGTCATGGTTAATGATTACAAGTCTGAATTCGACATCGACCCTGATGACGTTAGGATGTTTGAGGAGGGCTTTACCCGAATTATGGTGAGAGTGGGGTCCCTCCCGAATACTAGAAATTCCATCGGACCTCAACCTTCTGCAAGACACGGTGGATTTTGTACCACAATTCGACCTTCTATGCTCTGCCGCAGAAAGAAGAGCTCTTCAGAACGTCAGTGACGCCGAATTTTCACGTGGCGTGGCCGCGATGGGTCTAAGGGTAAGTCCCCTTATTT